TTTTATTTGAAAGTGAGAAAGGGATATAGGCAAAGGATGACTCCCAAGATCCTGACTGGAGTATACCCAGGTGTATCATGGTACCCGTTATGTTGATGGAGAGAATGGATAGAAAGAAAGACTTTGCATCTGGCTTTGAACCTACAGACTGAGATTTCCATGGAGGCTCATTAGGCAATCAAAAATATGGGTCCAAGAGCCATTAAGAAGTCCAGACTACAGATAGAGACTGGGGAACGTTAATGAGGGGTGATTTAAGACCATGAACGTGGATGAAATATTTCAATTAAAGTCAGTAAGGAAGAAGAAGCTCAATGATGAGACACTGAAGGGCATTAACATTTAGGGAGGCTAAGGGGAGGTGGGAGCACCCAAAGAAATGAGGAATAAGTGGCCTGAAAAAGAACTGCAAATTTAGGAGAAAATGGTATCCTGAAAGTCACAGAAGGATCGTTCCAGCAATGAGAGATTATCCCAAAGTAGATATCATACACGTTAGAATGCTTACAGTGTCATGACTGAAGAGTAACTACTGGATTTTGTTATTTCTTAACTCCCAAATCTTGTATTCCTAGAATAAAACTATTTCAGTGAACGGTGGACCTGGAACTCAGACTACAGTAGGCAGAAGACTGCATTAGTGGTGACAGAGTAGCATTAAAAGAGAGCTTTTTGAAAGCTTGTTATGAAGGAAAGAAGATTGATAGGGTAGCACACAAAGACTGATACAAGCATGAGGAATGCTTTTTTTAAGACAGAAATTTAAGCATATATATATATATATATATATATATATATATATATATATATATATATATATATATGTTTAAAAAGCAGCAAATGCTAGAGTACATTTGGTTTAACTCCAATCTTCCTTCGCAAATGAATAGGTAGAGCCTTTGGCTACGTCACACCTTGAAGTACAGGTACTCTATCAGCTCTTACTCTGCCCTGGTTATTACTGGCTAAACAGTCACCGCATGGACCCATGCAACACTGGGTCAGTACAAAGTCTCACTGGGCTCCAAAGCACAGCTCTGCAAAATGCCTCTCCTGGCCCCTTGTGCAGTGGCATCTTTGGTTTACATCTCTCTGTGAAGCTTCTGGTCCGTGTTGCATCCTGACAATATGAGTAGTTCTTATGAACCATAGTGGATTTTGTAGAGAAAAGAGCCGTTTCCAAGCTGAACGCGATGGAAGATGCTTGCCCTGTGAGGCATTAGTGTCGCGCTCTCAGACTCTTCCTTCCAGCTGTAAGAGATGGGATCGTATTATTTTGAAATGGGCTAAATATAAATGCGGCTGCCGGCCTATGGCTGCCTTCCGTGACCTCTGCTTGCTTCCATCGTATAAACATTATAGGCAGTTTTGAGTCAAATCTCAAAAGCACAGAGAGAAAGTCATCAAACAAAACAAAGACAAGCCTTTACCATGAGAAATGCTACTCGGTTTTAGCCCTCTGGTTTTCTCTGAATATGAGATTTGTCCTGTTTTTTTCAGCTAGAAGCAATTGGTCCCACCTCAGGAGACGCCTTTGTGTGCTACCCATAGCTCTTTCCTGGCACCTGCTTCTGACTCTCCCTGAAGTAGGACAAGCTCCCTGAGGGCAGGAGCCATGTTCCCAAGGCTCTTAGTGCAGTGGCTGGTCCAGAGCAGGCACCTGTCAGCCGCAGGGACAGAATGTTTGTAGGAGAGACCTGCCAACAAGCGGAGGTCCACAGGGGAGAACATAGAGGCCATCAGAATCCCTTCCCCCTAGCCAAGGAAAGGATAAGAGGGAATTAATGCTTGGGCTGTTAGAGTAGAAAGAAAACGATTCAGCAGCCAGGCTGTGCAACTGGTAACCACTGTGTCCAGAATTTGTCTAGATCAAAATCTAGAATGTTTAAGGGAGAGAAGAGAAGAGAGGAGATGAAAAAGTAAAAAGGATTTTCCTCTAGCCTGGTCTGCCACTTGAAAGAGTCACAATTGTTAAACAGTCCTTTTGCCCAAATTACAGCATCCCAAGAAATGCAGGAAGGATGCTGTGCTCCCTCTTCCTTTGAGTGTCTGTTATTTTTTTTTTTAATTTATTTTTGTTTATTTTTTGGCTGTGTCGGTCTTAGTTGCACCGTGCGGGATCTTCACTGAGGCATGCAGAATCTTTTGTTGCAGCGCCCGGGCTTCTCTCTAGTTGTGGTGTGTGGGTTTTCTCTTCTCTAGTTGTGGTGTGTGGGCTCTAGGACAACGTGGACTCTGTAGTTGTGGCACACGGGCTCCAGAGCGTGTGGGCTCTGCAGTTCGCAGCACACAGGCTCTCTAGTTGAGGCACGGGAGCTCAGTAGTAGTGGCCTGCGGGCTTAGGTGCCCCATGGCGTGTGGGATCTTAGTTCCCCGACCAGGGATAGAACCCGTGTCCCCTGCATTGGAAGGCGGATTCTCTACCACTGGACCATCAGGGAAGTCCCGAGGCTTGTTATTTAAATGACAGGCCTGCTGCCCCCATCTTCCTGGCACAGATTATGTGAGCATGAAATAACTCTGCCATTCTCTCCTTCATCCAGTCTTTCTGTGACTGCCCTCTTCTCACACTCACGCCACACTCACACCAGTGGAAAGAAAGGCTATCTGGTGCTAAGGGCCATTTCTTGACACTGAATCCAGCTGTTCCTGAGAATTAGAGCCAGGATAAACACATTAGCCCATTTTCCACCTTCAACTTCAAATGCTCGGTAAGAAAGAGCATCAAATAGAATCTCTTCTGAGAGCAATTTATAAGGTGGCTGGTAAGAGCCGGGGATCCAGCCTTGCAGGGAATTTATTTCCAAGTAAGTTGATACCAGGGCTATTTATTGGGGTGTATTCCCGCCAAAGTCGGCATTTGAAAATCCAGTGAGAAATTCGTGCTGGAAAATGTGAATTAAATAGCTCTTAGGCTACTTCTTGGCATTTGGCATTTTGCCTAGCAAGTTGATTCAGTATGTAAAAGTCTCAGATTTTCTCAATTCTCACGAGGTGGTTAGGCCTGCCACTGCTGCTGGTCCAGCATGAACATGGTACAACATGTGGGCCTGGACGCAAACCCACCGCCACCACCGAGATCCTTCAAAACGTCGGAGTTTCCCTGAAGATAAGGAACACATCTGGGCTCAGCAGCTGAAGTTTTGACTTGAATGTTTGCCACTTCTTATCTTTTAGTAATTTTTCCTTCAGAAAGTTCCAAATGAGATAACCTCATTTGGATAAGTGAGGCCTACGGTATAAAGAAAGAGACAGTTCTTACAAAATACTCTTCCAAGAACTGAGTTTAGTTGGGTAATACCATAGTTCTTCATGTCAGCTTACTTCATTGTTGTTTCCTGGGCTTGTTATTTTTATCCTGTTGTGACACAGGCTTTATATATGATGAGAGACACCAGGGAATTCAAGATAGGCACATGAGCAGAGGAAGGGTATGTAAGTGATGACTGGTCAGGGCAGCAGAGGTGATGCTGTAAAGGAGAGTGAGTGAAGAACTTAGACTTTCTTTGTAGGGTTTCCTACATTTACGTGAAGTGAGTCAACTCTCCTGGCCCACCATCCACTATGATGTTTACAATAGACGCTGCACTTTAGCAGGTGTTTTTAAACATTCATCTAATGTACAGCCACCCGGCCGATGAGCCCTAAGCTTCTTCAAGAGATCGCCGAGAAGAGACATTAACAGAAGAATGTAAAGTCATGAAGGTTTGGGCTGGACACCTGCGGGGATCTGATTTATTGGTGGGTTCTTATTGCTTCAGCTTTTAAGACGCGGTCCCTGTTCCGGAGAGTGGGAGTGAGTTGTGGCTCATGGGAAGGAAGCTGCAGAGAGGCAGGAAGCGAATCTCTCCGCTCCCATTGTCTGAGCCCATGGAGGACCTGACTTTCACGACCTGACTTGTCCATATGGTATGACAGCCGTGCCTGTGAAGCAAGAGGGCAGGCAGGCCGCTGTCCACCTGTGCTGTGATGCTCAGCCGCCTGGGGATGAGATGTAGAGGGCAACGCCTAGAATTTATTCCTCTCTTCTCCGCCTTCCTTGTCCTCAAACCTGGCCTTTCCTGGTTTCTAATCAAATCTAGCCATGACTTAGCCACGGTCAGCTTTTACTCAAGTGACAGGGAGGTCAGCAGACTACATCATCTTGCACCATCAGGGAGCCTTGCTACGGTTGTTTCACAGGTCCAAGGTCTAGTCTATCTGGCCTGCAGATCTGGAACCTCAGTAGTCAGCAGTTCTGGAATAACGACCCACACTCTCAGACACAAGTGAAACTCATCTGTGGCAGAGAGCCCATAGGTAAATTTATGGTGTGGAATGAACCTTCCTAATAATCAGTGCATTTGCTATTTGCAACGCTCTGTCCAAGTGTCAGGGTACATAGCAGAGAGGACTAGTCATCACAATTAGTGGCTGTCACACAAAAAAGGATCAAGGGAAAGGCGTTTAATCAGGCTGCATTATAACCTGCCGTCATCCTCAGATTTCTGAAACGCTCATCCTTTCCAATGCCCAGATGTTTGAAACTGTCAGACACAGGATTCCTCTTCCTGCAGTGGTAGTGTTGCTGCCACCAACTCCATTTCTTTTTCTTTGCTGTTTACCTGTGTCTTAGACATTTGATCTGGGATTTGGGCTGGGCTACCACTTTACGCTGTACATTCTGTCCTAGCTGGAAAGTCCTACAGACATGGCTTGTGTGCAGTGGAGCCCATTCATTACAAATAAATTAGCAGTGTCCAACAGTGTCTTTTCAAAGACTGTTGAATGAGTCAAACCTTCCCTGGTTTTTCCCTTGAAGCGATGTTCATTACCCGATTTAGGGATAAAGGAAATAACTCCAGTTCTTGCTAAATCACAAAGCGGGCATGGCCATGGAAAATACTAGACATGATTTTTTTTCATAAAAGTAAAACCAAACTCAAATCTTGGTAAGCCACTGGTGCTGGGTGCTTTGAATGGAAGCTCAGAGTGGCTAACACCTGTGTCTTATCACACAGGCCAGTGAAAGGCGCGTTCACCTCGTCGTGTCCCGCCAGCTTCGGCAGCAGAGTCCTGACATCTTTCAGGAAGCTGGCTGGAACAGCAGCGGCAGCCGGTCCCCAGGGCCAGGGGACAGGAGCAACACTCCCAAGGTGAGGCCCAGCCAGGGTATGTCCACAGCTCCTGCAGGGAGCTCTTTCTTGGGAAGGCTGCATACTTGAACATTTTTTTAAGTGTCACCTCTGCACTTGATCACTTAAACACTCTTTGACTTGTCTTGCAACATGGAAAGCCCCAAACCCCATCTTCGAGAACTGGTGAGATAACAGGTGTCTTTCATCCAAGCAGGAGAGAGGAAGGTGCGGGAGAGTTTTGAAACCTGATCTTGAAAACCAGACCTCATACAGGGACCTAATTTCTAGCCTAAGCCAGATGGATGTCGTGTTTTTCCAACAGGCATTTTGTTTAAGGACTGCTCCCATTCACTTTGAAATGAAACAAGAGGTTTGCTTGGTTTCTAGTTTTTGAAGTTCCCAGTCTGCCTGAAAATTAATGATTCCCCTTTAGTAAGTTTGTTTTTGCAAGAAGGACCCAGGAAGATAATAAAAACACTTGAAGTTCATGTAACATTAGGGAGTGGTGGGATTGGGACAAACCAGAGAGCATATGTCCTTCTCGCGTTAAATTCCAGAAAAATTTTAAAACACCGTGGATGGAGCGGAATGCATCTCTAGGCAGAATGCCTCCTTCAGGGCAGCAAAGTGTAGCCTATCTTTAAGTGAGGTGACTCAGCGCAGTATGTACTTCTGTCATGGCTTTTATTAGAGGCAATACCGTAACCTCTCCATTTGGATGGGTATCTAAGCAACACAAACCTTGTTTAGTGCAAATTCACAGTCCTATAGCCTTGGCTTGGCATCCTGTTGTGATGGCAATGAGTTTCTAGCCATCATTCCTCCTGGGACCTGGTTTCATTAAATCACTTGTCACTACAATCTTATAGGTAGCCCATTCTTCTTGCAACAGAGATTAAGGAATGCCTACATTCTACATAAGGCTGTGTTTCAGTTTGGAATAACTCATGAGTTTGAGTTTTTGAGCAGTGGATACAGAAACAGTACTCAAGTTTTGGATTTTGGAATACCTCTGCTTTATATACTGTTAACTGCACAGCCTACAAAGCTATACCACCTCTCCTTTCTCCAGCCAGCCAGACAGCCATGCCCCATAAATCCATAAATTTCAGGTTTATTTACAATAAACAATCTAGAAAAACCAAGTACCTCCTGCTAAAACCTTTTATGGATAAGGACTCCCTGGTGCCTTTTTGCTGATAAATACCATTAGTGTTTAAATTAAACCAATGGTATTTATTAATGGAAAACTACCTTATTAGCTCAATTAATTAAAGTTTTAATCTAATTATAGTTGAGTTAACTAGACTATGTTATATTCTGGTTCATTACACCACTAAGAATGCAGCTTCCACCAGCACTGTGGGCTTTATAATCCCTTCCGCCTAACCATCATGAATCATGGAAACAGCCGGGGTAATCTGATAAAATTTTTGCTGCAACCTCCTGTCTTGTGTCCAGTTCCTGGAAAACATATATAACAGACTGGCCTAGTGGGAAAGTGTAAGTATTTTCATTTTAATTTATAGTTCTATCTGCCTTCTGAAATGTACACACACACACACACACACACACACACACACTGGCATATTTAAAATTAAACTAAGACACATAGACATTTGATGATTTAGTTTTTTATGATCCTACTAAAGTTTTATTTAGGAAGCAACATGGCTTTTTGAAAGTAGGAGCTTAAATGATTCAAAGAAATACCAAAGAAGGCAAACCAAGATTTGTGAGACAGAGAAGTTTTTAGCCAATTGAAAAGTTAAAGAATGGCAGGCATCAAATTTAGGAGTGTGGTTACCTCCGTGGGAGAGCAAAGGGAACGTGACCAGAGGAAAATCACAGAGGGACTTGAGCTGCACACAGAACCTGTATTTCTGAGGCTGCGTTGCAGAGTACACGGGTAGGCCATTATGTTCATCTTTGTACTTTTATTATACGTCCGAAATGTTTTCTTTTAAAAATGCAAACATTCCGTCACGTATTTTAAGAGCTGAATGATGAGTATACAGGTGCCCGTGATACTTTTTAATCAGTTTGAACTGTGTCGTAAAAAATTATAGTTTTAAACATTAGGGAGTATTCTGAGGTCTCCACAGTAGGGAAGGGGGTGCAGACAGAACACGGGTGGAAAACAAGTTCTCTGTCGTATGTAGCTCTTCTCTCCCCAGCCAAAGTTAGGCCGCTCTGGGTGTGAAGGGTTCGGGGTGTCAAGGGACGATGACTTGGGTTTTTCTGTCCCTAACATGGATCTCTCTCTGCTGGGGAACCGAGTGGCTGTCAGAGGCACAGGACACCTTGATTTGGGGTAGCCCAGACATTCGTGCCGAGCCTGTACCTGCTCAACAAAACATCCCTGTGCTCAGTGCAGCAAGACTGCTTTGTAAGCACTGAGGAGGTGTGATGGAAAGACAGTCTCCAGGGACTTGTATCCGAAAGCATAGACAGCACATCTCTGCAGCCAGGAGGACATAGCTTTCAGCATTCAGATCTTATATGTCACGTATTTTATTTGACAGCACTAAAGTTGGTTTCAGTTCTCTATTCAGTGAGACAAATTCTTTCTGGAATAATTGGGTAATTAATTCTTTCATGTGTGTTTTTCTGACCATCACCTGAAACTTGATAGATTAATTTATATCACGTGTTTAAATGGTACCTCTAAAAGCAGAGCGGTGTACAAGGGAGAGCAAGGATTTAGGGTCAGACATCCTAGGTTTCAGCACTCAATCTTTCTCCTGCCAGTTGTGATTCATTGATCAAATTTTTTTTTAAATGGTGAGCCTCGGTTTGCCTGGCCTGACACATGGAAGTAAGCAACAAATAATTTTTTCTTTTCCTAAAGGAGTATCTGGTCAGTCTGTACATAATTCAGGCAAAATTTATTCATGACAAAATAATTAAGGCCTCAGTAACACTCCCTATTAACTGGAGTGGCAGGAGAGAAGCCAATGGAACTTCTGGAATATTTCATAGGGTGTGTAATTTTGCTGCTTTCACATGAATTTAGTAACACATTTTTCAACCAAAGTATTCTCAGATAAAAGCCATATCTTCCATTTAACTGCATTTCTTTTAGCCACAGGTTTGCCGTATGTGGGCATTCTGACCCATTTTATAGATGAAGTCAGAGGAACCTGGAGTGATTACAGTGTTATAAAATCTCTCGCTTATTACTATTAGAACCCCAGTAGCGCTTCCCTGGTGGCTCAGTGGTTGAGAATCTGCCTGCCTATGCAGGGGACACGGGTTCGAGCCCTGGTCTGGGAAGATCCCACGTGCCGCCGAGCAACTAGGCCCGTGCGCCACAACTACTGAGCCTGTGCGTCTGGAGCTTGTGCTCCGCAACAAGAGAGGCCACAACACTGAGGTCCGCGCACCACGATGAACAGTGGCCCTCGCTCATCGCAACTAGAGAAAGCCCTCGCACAGAAATGAAGACCCAACACAGCCCAAAATAAATTAATTAATTAATTTTTTCAAATTATATAGAACCCAAATAGCAACAAACGATGTTCAAACTTTCTACTAGAAAGGCAATTAAATTATCGGAATTTTTTTCACCTGGATAAACATTATAAATACTGTATTGCTAAAACCCAGTACTGGATGAATTGTGGGAAATTAGCATTTTCACAGCGTATTGTTGAGATTATAAATGATAGAGCTGTTTCAAAGGTAATTTATCAATATCTATCAAAATGTTAAATGCTCAGGCTCTTTGAGTTAGCAGTTATACTTCTAGGACATTAGCCTGAAGAAATATTTACACAAGTGCACAAGATATGTGTGTCTAAGGATATTCACAGTGACACTGTTTAATTTTGTGAAAGACTGTAAAAAACCCAAAAGGTCATTAATGGTGGATATGGCATATTCACACAATGAAATACTAGGCAGCTGTTCAAGAAGAGATAAAGTGTGTGTGTGTGTGTGTGTGTGTGTGTGTGTATTTACATCAAAAAGGTGTCCTTATTTTCCAGAGCATTCCATATGTATATAAGGCATCACCTTGAGAGATTGACTAACTACTCCTACAATACCCCAGGCCCCCTAGAAATAATGGAGTTAAGCCCCTCTTTGAGAGCACAGGGAATACATGCCTTATGAATATCCCCAGGGACAAGCTGAAGCAGCAGGGCAGCCTGTTGGAGTCTCTGGGTTTAGAGCTTTGCCCTGAGTTGGGGGCATTTCAGAACTGCCTGCATCTCCAAGCTGGGATCTTTTGAGAGATATTTGTGGTTAAAGGAAGAGACATCCTGAATCTAATTGCTTTCTAAAAAGGAAAAATCATGTACTAAGGACAGATCTTGAGATCCCCTCCAAGTCTACTCCTTTGCCTCAGCTGGAATGCTAGGACCACTATGTTCATACTGTTACTTGCCTGTCTTGTCTTGAAACTTTTCTCTGAAGAAAGCCCCATTTCAGTTTTACAGCCCTCATCTGACAACCAATCTCTACAGGGCACATCAAAGTTCTAAGGTTTATATAAACACAACCCAGACCTTACAAGTACTAATTGTAACATATACCTTGCTATAATCTTAATTTCCAATTTATTATTCTGTTACTGTCAAAAACAATGTGGCAATTTGCAATTCATCCATCCATTTATTCGACAAACATGTACTTACCATCATCAATGTGTTAAACACAATGTTCAGGGCTAGGGATACAGTCACAGGGCATTACTGTATACAATAAGGCCATTGAAACAGACGTGGGTTATTTAAAACCATAGGAAATCATCATATAATAAATGCACAAAAATCCTAGGCTTATCTTGCTTCATAATGAAGCATTAAAAATTGATTCTGTACATGTAAGCATTAGTTCTGTATGATGTCAACCATCAAATTTACAGAAGTTTGATTATAATTCATTTGATTTGTTGCATAGATAATATATTCACAGGGTTCAAAAACTGGAAAGTATATATTAAGTTTCTCACCCTTCCCTGATCTACCCAGTTTCCCCCTCCACCCCCATGAAACCACTTTTTCTTCCAGAATTTCTTTATGAAAATGCAAGTATCCGTACAAATTCTCATTTCCCTCCTTTTTTTTTTTTTTTTTTTTTTAAATGAAAGGTAGTATACTTATATTTTGTTCTGTAGCTTGGTTATTTTTGTCAGATGTGTTTTTAAATTTTCTTTCTTTAGATAGAACTGTAAGCTATGTTTTGAACCATAGACTTCTTTGAGGTTTGATCAAGTGTTATAAGTATTTATTTGCAGTGCAAATGCCCACCTAGTCTCCTAGGTCACTGCCCAAGCAGGAAGGAGAATAACTTTTTTGAAAAATATATATTGATACATATTCATTGATAAAGCAGTACCCTTGACCTACTCTTATTGCTTCAAGATAATGTTGAATGTGGCTTCAATGTTTTTAATCTAGTGTTGTTGAATCAAATCGCAATTAATTTGCTTTTGAAAAGTTGGTCTACAATGTGTATTATATAATGTATATATTATGTTTTATGTAATAAAATTAAAGTCTATAACTGCACATTAGTTAGGACTGCTAAAGTAAGAGTAAAGTTGTCAGCTGGGGCAAACCTAGATATTGGTGAGATTTTAGAGTATAATATCTAGGAAATTCATTGTTTTTCTCTGAGGATTTCTGTAATTGATTACCTGCATAAATTAAACTGGAACTATTTAATTTGAATATGGTTACATTTTAACCTAGAAAAACTTCCGGATATTCATGCATGACGAGAGTTTTACGAAATGTTGACTCACTGTATCAGGAATAAATGGGTCACCTGAAAAATTTTGGGTGCAGTTCACTTTGTATACTTAATATTTCTCCAGTGGTCTCCAACCTATTCCTCTTCCCATTTTTTGCTTCTCCCACTTGGAATATAAATTTTCTCTGAGTCAGCCTATGGAATTTGGGGTAATGTAACTCTGTTGAGAGCGAGGACCAAGTGAGGAGTTCTCTGCCTCTCTCTCCCTCTCTCTTCTCTCTATGTACGACCAAGAACCACCATCATATATTTATGCAATCTTGGTAGATTTTTGTATGTAAGAAATGCAGACCCACTTATGAACAAATGTGCTATATTTGTTTTTCTGTCTGTGCCTTCAGCCCCTCCACCCTGCGGTCACTTGTCACGAGAAGGTGGTAAGTGTCCAAAAAGACCCCAGTGAATCACTCGGCATGACCGTTGCAGGGGGAGCATCACATAGGGAGTGGAATTTGCCAATCTATGTCATCAGTGTTGAGCCCGGAGGAGTCATAAGCAGAGATGGAAGAATAAAAACAGGTAAAAAGTAAAGAGACTTAAGGTACTGGGGCAGCAGAGTGTTAAAAGGAATTAGCGGCTTACTGGGTTAGGTAACTGTTTCCAGAATTAACAAGAGAATGTGAGGGTGATCTGGCCAGGGCATCTGTTACCCATTGACCATGATTGGTTTGAGTATAGTTCCTGGACCAGGTTTCACCCCTCTTGGTTCATGTGGGTTGATGTGGGCCACCTGGCTTGCTGGTGAAGTGAGTATCTGCAAACAATGCCAAGAATTCATAGGGAAGGGCTACAGTTATGAGCGAGTTGCCTCGATTAACTGGCATAATTTGGTTCCATTCATTCTACGTAATTCTTTGGTGGATTGATCCAGTGATGAAACTGTTCATGAATCGTTCCATTTATGGGTTGGATAGGAGAAATAATTTGATAGATTTTGATTCAGTGAATATTTATTAAGTGAAAATACCAAGCCAGGTACCTTCCCATTGATGAAAAGTGTTTCACTACTTTAATCTTATGTCACTTGGGCTCCTTAGAGTGAAGGAAAGAGATGTCCAATTTGTATCTTTGATAGTATTGTCAGTTCCCATGGATGGGTAGCTGATGGCTGAGCCGATATGCCCTTTCAGGGTGTTCAGATTCAAGAAATAACATGTGAAGTTTTTGACGTACAGTTGCTCAGCCTGAGGGGCCACAGGGGGATGGCATGTGTGAAGGGGTTCAGTCAGCCAACCTAACGGTGCTTCTCTGGGGTTCAGGATGAACTCAAGGCCTTTCCCATCTTTCTCCTCCTGTCCTTTTACTCTTGCTACGGTTATTCTGTGTGAGACAGTTGATATTCAAAGGAGGCAGAAAGAAAGACAGGAGGGAGATATAAAAGATAGGAAATGGAGGTAGGGGAGGTATGTACTTTAGTTTCTCTTTTCTTTTTCACCCAAGCACCCGGGTGGAGAACGACGAGGTCAACTACGAACTGACTTATTAGTGAGAGAACGTGAGCAGCCGGTTATATGATAGGATGGCCCCGCACACAGTAGGGGCTTAACCAGTGGTAGCTGTCAGCACCTGTGCACTGAATAGAAATGGAACCCCTTCTTCACACCTCTTTAGGAACACAGTTCCAGGCCCATTGTTCTTAACTGCCAGACTCTCTCATGGGAAGCTTATTATGTATTCATTCAACCCTTATTTATTGGGTGCCTACTACATGCCTGGCTCCGTGTGGGTGCTGGGCGCTTTGGCCACATGCTCCGCCTTTGTGCTAAAAATGGGAAGAAAAGAAAAAAAAAGGAGGTTTTCTTTGATTAAATAGTGTACGTGGCTATTTTATCTCCCTCTCTTCTTTCCTTCCTTCCTTCCTTCCTTCCTTCCTCCCTCCCTCCCTCCCTCTCCCTCCCCCTTTTTAAGGCAAGAGCCAAATACCAATAGGTGTGCTTTAGAATCCCCCCCACATGATTTACCAGCGCCTTGGCACGTGCGCACTGCTCGCGATTTGACGTGTGAAAACGCAGCCGCATGTTGACGTGAGGCTAAGGAAGTGCCCCTTGCCCTCCCCTCGTACCCGCATCCCAGTCAGTCCCTGCCCCTTTGCCTTTCCAGTCTGCACTCTTACTAAGAATGGCTTCTGCTTCTCCGGTCACTAGGTGACGTTCTGTTGAATGTGAACGGGATTGAACTAACAGAGGTCAGCCGGAGCGAGGCGGTTGCTTTACTGAAAAGCACATCCTCCTCGGTGGTACTTAAAGCTTTGGAAGTCAGAGAATGTGAGCCCCAGGAAGAAGGCAGCAGCCCAGCAGCGCTGGACTTCAACCACAAAGACACGGCCCCACCTGGCAACCAGTCCCCGTCCTGGGTCATGTGGCTGGAATTACCACGGTGAGTCCCAGCGTGACATCCTTGGGGGAGGTGTGGGAGGAAACGATGATAGTTCTTAGACCACTGTTTCACTCACTTGGGCTGATTCAGGGCACTGACATGTTAACGAGACCCAGGCTTGGTTGCGGGTCTGTTTGAAAGAATTTGTGTTCCCTTTTGTAACTGAAACTGCAGTAATTCTTGGGCAGGGACGAAAGCCTGGGTGTGGAAACACTGTTTGGCCTTCACGGTGAGGAGGTCGTAGGGCTGCCATGTTCGATTGTGTGGGTTGTATGTGCGTCAGGAAGCTCAGTCGACAGAGAGAGGGCGCTGTTTTCACACACTCTGGAGCAGGGCAAGGTCACCTTTTCTCAATTGGCTAGTGGCGGGCCTAGGAACTTGCATGGAGGTAAAACCAGTCTGTGGCTTCACCCCTCCAGCTCTCCGGTGGCCCCAGCTAAACCCAGAGCAACGCAGCAGCACATTTTGCCTTTGCCCAGATGTTGGGTCCTGTGTTGATTGAGGGCCTGTCTCAGATCACCTCTCCCTTTTTCCTGCTCTTGAAAAGTTCTGGTGTAAACCTTCAGGAAGCAACTAGTTTGTCATCTCAGTGAGATGTAACTAGAGCCTTAGAGGGGAGCCAGATAAATGTTTTGGAAAGTTCAGGAAAGGATTTGAGGGCAGCCTTGCTAAATGGCTAGAAATCAAATATTCGAAGGACAGATAAATTGGGGTTTGCTCACCTGCATCAGAGCATAAGCTCTTGGCCTTCAAAGGATTGCCTTAATAATTCCAAATGCATGACTTAAATGTTAAACATTAGAGTCACTGATGATGATATGCTGGCAGAGGATTAAATGAATGAAAGTAGGATGTTTGGTTTTAGTACATTTTTCTCGAGGGTGGAGATAGGTTTGGTCTCTCTCTCTCTCTCTCTCTCTCTCTCTCTCTCTCTCAATTTTAAATGAGGTTTTAAAAAACATCCCTACCTCAAATACACACTGAGATTCCCTTTTTAGCCTGTACTACTAGTTGATAAAATATTTTTTAAATGAGTACATTTTAAGTTAAAAACTGAGCATTGAGTTTAAAAAATTTAATTTTTTAAAAAAATTTTCTTCCTGGGTGGAAGAAGAGAATGTTACTTTAACTAAAATCGTATGAAAAAATTTTTTCTAAAACTTCAATCTATTAAAATGGATCATTTAAAAAAACATTTTGTGCTTGAAAGCTACTTGTCTTATAAAACAGAGTTCCTTGCCGTTCATTCATGTAAAGAGACAGAACAAATGTGAGATGTGTTTTACTTCACGTACAACCAAGTGAATGGCTTTCTCTCCCTCTACCTTTGCCCTTGACTTTGGGCACAGCATTTCCCTGCTCTTATCAGAAGTCCAATCTGGATTTTGCTCATTTCCTTTAGAAGAATAGAAAGTGTGAAGCCAGCAAAGACAACACTGGTTTGTAGTCCCCCTGGCAATTCTTAGTTTCCTTCATCCCCTCCTCTCCTCATAGTAATAAGCACAGTGAACATTCGGAGGGCACCAAAGGGTAGAGAGAGAGTGAAAGTGAGTCTTCCACCCTTGGCCCCTCAGATCCGCTCAACAGAGGTCACAGTTACCAATGACTTGTGTAATTTTCCAGGGAGTGTCTGTGTCAGAGGTTGGTAAACTTTTTCTGAAAAGGGCCAGAGAGTGCAGATTTGGAGGGTCATGCTGTCTCTGTTGCCATTATTCATTTCTGCTGTTGTGGTGTGAAAGCAGCCATAGACAGTTAATACACAGATGAATGGGCATGCCTGTTTATTTATAAAATTGGGTGTTGGGCTGGGCTGTAGTTTGCTGACCCCTACTCTAGGTATATATGTACACACACATATACAATGGTAACGTACACACTATGATGTACCATATTTTTTTTTTAATCTAAGAATATACCTTGGGTATCATTTCACATTAGTACACATCAAGCTTCCTCGTTCTTTTCTATGGCCAATAGTATTCTCTTGTATAGAAGTACCATATTGATTCAGCCAGTCCTGTTGGTAGTGGACACTTAGGTTGTTTTCATCTTTCATGAGCAATGTTGCAAAAAGAATTCATAAGGAAGGTACAGTGATGTTCATTGCACTGTTGTTGTGTCCACTACCAATAGGAACTGGTTAAAGAAATCATGCTATATCTGTACAACCCTGTGACAGGTTACCTGGTTATAAAACTATCTGATCACCTCTTTTTGGATTTCGTAGGCATTGCATCACTGACTCGCACTGAGTGGTGATGTGGAGAAGTGAGGCCTGTCTCATTTCTTTCCTTCTCTATGTGGCTTGGTCTTTCTACCTAACGTTCAAGATAAATATTCTGTTATTTGGCGTCTTCTTTTCAGGGAGGCCAGATATGTATGTTACCTCTTTTTGTTTTATATCTTTCATTTTCTCTTGAATCCTTTTCAATTCTATTTACTTTCATTCTGCTTTCTTTGTGTTGATCTGTCCTTCATAACCCTTACTGTGTTTTCAGTAGTACATCTTTGCCTTTGTAGTCACTTTCATTTCTGTGTTCTTATTTTTCCCTTCCACGTCTTTCTTCTCGGCCCATTTCTTCTCCTCTTGTCTTACATCTCCCCTTGAAATCGTGTATCTCTGCCTTGATCTCTTTTACAGAGCCATTGTTTCAGAAGTATTTTAAATTCACAGGAACAGGGTTGGTCATAAATTTCCTTTTCGCTAGCAGCATTTCATTTCTGTGGCAGCATTTTTCTGGTGAGTGGTTTTTGTCTGTTACTGTGTTTACTGTTACTCTCCGCCTTTGTTTTTATATGTGTCTCTGGTTCATTTTTTAACCTTTGAGCTAAATTTTTCCTGGAGTGGCTGTTTGCTGGAAGTTTGTAATAAAAGGAAGGAACCAGGGCCATCTTGCAGGTTGGCATTTCTGATCTTGACTGCATAGAGCCCCAAAGGTGCCAGGTTCTCCCTCACTGATGCAATACCATGGGCATAAATGTCTCTAGTCATTTGGCATTAGTGATGTCCTAAGAGTCTCAGGCCTTAGCAAAAGTTACTTGCCTGCCGGGACCACTAGAGATTTAGGCTGCAAATAGTTGTTTTTTTTTTAATTCACAAAGAAGACACTTCCCTCCAAGTTATACATTTACCCAGTCAAATCTTTTCCCCTTTTGCTTAACAGATTTTGAGGGAAAACTATTTGCCCTAAAGTATGATCCAGCCACTTACCTAAGATTCCCTACTAGTGAAGAAAAGTGATACGTCAGCAGGTCTAGAAACAATCTCTTTTCTAGGACATTGTGATCATGTCCTCAAGTGCAGTCCAACACGTAGAATGAATGTATATGAAGAGGGTACCATTAGTATGCTGAACCCCAGTGGGTGTCAGCTATGATAAACAGTAGCAGAGAGTAAAAGTAGGTTATTAAGGACAATGCAAATTGTGTCTCACCCTTATCAGGGATGCCTTTTGTACACCCCTGGGCAGTAGCTCCAGACATGGGCTCTAAGCTATACAAATTATCAGATGCCATTCACTTGGAGGGGATTCAGAAAACACTGAAGACCTTCTGCTTTATTCACTGTTGGCTCTCAGGGCCCACACTCCACATCTGGAAGTCTTTGAAAACATGCTCTTATCCGGACTAGTATGATAGTGATACACATTAGCTCATTTCTTCTCTTGCCTAAGTATTTAAACTTTCACTTTCCTGAACTTCATAAAGCATTTTGATGAGGATTGTCTGTACTGAAGAGCAGGGAGGCAAATATCATGGGTTGTTTTTTTTTTAAGTCAAAAACTTTTACATTTTAACTATAGGACAGGGACACTGTCAAGTACATCCAAACCCGGAATAGAAATAACAACTGCAACAGTAGCTCATACTGATATAACCTTTTCTGTGTGCCAGGCACTCTGCTAAGAGCTTTACATGTTCTTTGCATTTTTCACTCATTTAATGCTCAACGTCAGTCCTATGATCTAGGTACTAATATTATCCCCACTTTGAAGATAGGAGACTGAAGCACAGAGTGGTTAAGTAACTTGCCCAAGGTAACATGCTAGTTAATATGCAGAACTGGGATTTGAACCAGGCTGCCTGGTTGGGATCTTAACCACTATGCAGTGTTTGGTGAGCATCCTTTAGGAGGATGTGAAGCCTGTATTTAGCTTTTATAATTTGAGTCTTACCGTTTCTCTCTTTACCATAAACAAGTTCTGCAGGAGTGTAAATGCCTCAGATTTCTGTCATTCAGTGGATGTGTCATGCACCCAGCAGCCCAGTGTGCGTTTTTCTTCATTGCTTAGCCTCTTAGGCCTCAAATTTCTTGCCATTCTCCTCCCCACCTCCCACCATTACGTTCCCTGTGTGACGTTCGCTAATAAGGCACAGTCAGTCCGGAATCAGATGAGTAACTCCTGGCGAAGTCATTGAAGGAGCAAAATTAGTCTTTTATAATTGTCCCCAACTCACCTATATTTATGGTGGGATATGAATGCACTTTTAATGTGTTTGTTGTAATAGTGGGTGGAGCCTCCACAGGAATACCTAGTGTCTCTGTAGGTCTTTAAATGGCTCTGCTTAGCAGGCATTTGTTGAATGAAATAATCAATAGAGTAGGTTCTAGGAATAGCCCTCATGGACTTCATAATACAGTAAGCAACAACATGTCATAGTAAATTATTAAAAATTATGAATTAAAGGAGTTATAATTAAAATATTATGTAGGCACATGGTGCTTTGGGAACCTAGAAAATACATTGGAGTGAATGGTGGTATGTTTCATCTAGCTGGAGGATATAACCAAACTAGGAGAGTTAAGAATCATGCTATGTAACCAACTAGCCACAAAACCTCAGTAGCAGAAAGTGAAAGTCAAAGAGTGAAGATGGAAGTGAGGCTGCCCACAGCTGGAGCGTGCAGGCCAAGCCTGCAGAGCCCTGGGCCCACAGTGAGCGGCCCCTCTGATGTGCAGAATGCCCATTCCGCAGGGAGCATCAGACACAGATCAGCTTCAGCTGATCCAGGACAGGTGTGACTGATCTTGGCTGGCTCCAGCAGTCCTTTCTGGGTCGTTTCGGTGGCTCTGCTAACCTTGGCTGGCCATGCTCCTGTGTCTAGATTTGGCTGGCTCTGGCCAACGTCCCACTGATGATCTTATGGCTGAATCCAGAATTGGAGGGGGGGCACCACAAAATTATACAATAAGTGGCACGGATGATACCAGGGAAGGGTGATGACTTGGGGCCATTCATGTAATTATTTTACACAGTAAGGAAGAATGAGGAGATATTAGTTGTTCTGGACATGTTGAGTTTGAGATACCAGTGGAACATCAAGTTTGATAAACATGTCTACAGCAGCAATTCCCAAAGTTTTTTTTCAAGACCCCTACACTTATTTAGAGTATTGATGATCCCCAAGAGCTTTTGCTTATATAGGTTATACCTACTAATATTTTACCTTATAAATTAATCTGAAGAATTTTATTTATTAAATCATTTAAAATAACCCATTATATATTAACATAAATAAGATCTTTTATAAGAAGCAGTATTTTTAAAAATTACAAGAGTGGCACTGTATGATTTTTGCAAACCTCTTTAATGTTTGGCTTAATAGAAGATAACTCTGGACTCTCATATCTACTTCTGCATTCAGTGTCCTGCCAGATCACTTACCACATGTCCTCTGGAAAATGTCACCATATGCTTGTAAGAAAATGAGAATGACTCATTAATGTTAGGTTGAAATTTCTGTATTGGTAACATAAAAATTTTAGATGATTACAGCTTGTCCACATAGAATAAAATATTAAGAGTCAAGGTCCAAAGTGATAATTAATGAAAAAACCCAATGGTCAAAAGGGTGAGAAATACTTAAGTTTCGAGTATTGCTCCATGTACCCATTTATATGTTTTAAAGAACGTTAAGACATATTTAATCATAACCTTGGGTAAGAAGCACCCACCAGGCTCTCCTCTCCAAACACTGGGCACAGGTGGGAACATCATGCTCTAGTGTCTGGGGAACAATTACCTGCTTTGAACATGAGCAGTCAGTGAGCCACTGTGTAAATGTGGTATCAAACACACCACAACTCCTACAGGACGAACTTACTAACATCAAGTATTACTGTGAAATACAGCAAATGAATATTTTATAATAAAAATATGGTTTCATTCAATGAATTCGTATTTTTCAGCAATAATTTCAGCGAAAGAAATTATTGTAAATGATATATATGTATGACAACAGATACAAAACAAAATTGAGTTGCATTTTAGCACTACATTTTAAAGTTACCCACCAGACAAACCCAAAGCTTGTTTTACTTCATGAAAAAGTCATGTTACATTGATTAGCAAGGTCAGTAACAAATGTAATGGCCAACTTCATCACCAGAACATTTCTCAAGAGAATTTTTATTGGTTTTTCAAAAAAATTAGTATTTCAAGGTACAGTTTATAAACAAAATCACCAAATCTTGACTTTTACCAACATGAAAATGCTCTTTCAAACCAGTTCCTGGACTGGGGGATTTTGGAGTCAAATCCAGCTCCTGACATACCTCTGTCATAACTGTAACACAGTTTTGTACTTAGCCTGCACCTATGTTAACACTGATTCAACTGCCACTGAATAATAAAAGGAACAGCTTCCTCAATCAAATTTTCTATTTTAGCTGAGGGTTCTACCCATTTACAAAAGACCTGTGGTCTTTCTCCCATTCCTGTTATAACTTGCTATTCAGTTTACCACCAGGTTTTTCTCCTTCAGTATGAATCATTCTTACAATCTTTAAGTGCACCTCAATCTCCATTCACTATATTACGCGGCCTGCATGCTTCTATATAACCTATCAAACATGTAAAACTATGTATAAACTGGTATCTTTCAAAAGTCAGAACTTCAGCCAATGAATTAATTAGGGTTACATTTAAATTTTTTCCGAGATATTAACCATTTATTCAAAGAATTTTTCCTTCATTAAAAATTATTTACATCCATAAGGAAATAAAAATATAACTGTAAGTATGCTTGAATGTGGTTCATCAGTAAAGATTTAGGCATAACTAACTTTTTAATATAAGTTGAGAAATTAAATCTTTAAGCCAGAAATGATTCTTTCCCAGTAGACATATAAACAGAACATAATAGATGGTGCCACTTTTAAAAGGGTGGTTAGCTTTAGAAAAGAGAAAAATTAGAAATTAGAAAAATTTTTAGAAAAATTAGAAAAAGCCAGCTAGGGCTTCCCTGGTGGCACAGTGGTTGAGAGTCTGCCTGACGATGCAGGGGACGCGGGCTCGTGCCCCAGTCCGGGAAGATCCCACATGCCATGGAGTGGCTGGGCCCGTGAGCCATGGCCGCTGAGCCTGCGCGTCCGGAGCCTGTGCTCCACAACGCGAGAGGCCACAACAGTGAGAGGCCTGC